GGTCTCTTTTTCTAACTTGTATAGACAGGAAGTATTACCCATAGTGGCTGCAATACCCAGTTCCTTTTTTTTTTTTTTTTTACTATTTGCTGAGATTTATTTTTATTATTTATTTTTTACTTACTTTTTATTATTTTTATTATTTTTGGGGTCAATTTGGTTTATAACCTTGGGTAAATTACAAGTATACATCATTATTTTTTGGCTTTTGTATAGACTGCATTGTGGTCAACACCAAAAGTCTAGTTTCTATTTGTGACCATATATATGTGCCTCTTCACCCCTTTTGCCCTCCCCTCACTGCTTTTCCCTCTGGTAACCATCAATCGGTTCTTCTCCTCTATGTGTTTATTTGTTTGTTTATATTCCACATATGAGTGAAATCATGCAGTTTTTCTCTCTTACTTACTTTGTTTAAAATAATACCCTCAAGTTCCATCCATATTGCCACACATGGCATGATATCTTCCTCTTTATGGCTGAGTAGTATTGCATTGTGTATATATACGACGTCTTCCTTGTCCATTCATCCGTGGGTGGACACTTGGCTGCTTCTAAGTCTTGGCTATTGTGAATAATTTTGCAGTGAAAACAGGGGTGCATACGCCTTTTCAAATAATGTTTCAGGGTTTTTTGATAAATACTCAGAAGTGAAATAGATGGATCATAGGGTACTTCTATTTGTAATTCTTTGAAAAATCTCCATACTGTTTTCCATATTGGGTGCCACCATTTGAATTCACTCCAGCAGTGTGTGAGAGTTCCCTTTTGTCTACCTGCTCTCCAATACATGGGGTTTATTTTTTATATTTTAGAAATAGTCATTCTGATGATTGTGAGGTGATATCTCACAGTATTTTTTTTTGTGCAAGGAAACATTTGCCTTGTGCTAACATCTGTTGTCAATCTTCCTCTTTTCTTCCCTCCCCAAAGCACCAGTGCATAGTGTCCTAGTTGTACGTCATTCTAGTTGTTGTATGTGAGCTTCAGACACAGCATGGCAACTGACAGATGGGTGATGTGGTTCCGCAACTGGAAAATGAGGCCGGACAGCCCAACTGGTGAGTGCTGAAATTTAACCACTAAGCCATTAGGGCTGGCTCTCATACTAGTTTTGATTTTCATCTACCTGATAATAAGTGATATTGAACATCATTTCATGTGCCTGTTCGCCGTCTGTATATCCTCTTTGGAAAAATTTCTGCTCATATCCTCTGCCCATGTTTTGATCAGGTTTTTCTTTTTGCTGTTGTTGAGTTTTATCAGTTTATATATTTTGGAAATTAACCTCTTATCTCAAATATAATTTGCAATAATTTTCTTCCAGTGGGTGGGTTGTCTTTTCTTTTTGTTGATGGTTTCTTTTGTTATGTAGAAGTTTTTAGTTTGATGTACTCCTATTTTTTTTTTTTTTCTTTTGTTTCCCTTGCCTGAGGAGACATGGTATTCAAAAAGATACTGCTGAGAGTGATGTCAAAGCATGTACTGCCTATGTTTACTTCCAGGAGCTTTGTGGTTTCAGGTCTTACATTCAAGTCTTTAATTCATTTTGAGTTGATTTTTGAGTATGGTATATGATAATGGTCTGCTTTCATTCCTTTGCATGTAGCTGTCCAGTTTTCCCAACATCATTTACAGAAGAGACTTTCCTTTCTCCATATACATTCTTGGAACTTTGTCAAAGATTACTGTCCATACATTTGTGGTTTTATTTCTGGGCTCTCAATTCCATTCCATTGATCTATGTGTCTCTTTTTCTTCCAGTGCCATGCTGTTTTGAACAAAAGCTTTGTAGTAGATTTGGAATTCAAGAGTATGATATCACCAGCTTTGTTCTTTTTTTCTCAGAATTGCTTTGGCTATTTGGGGTCTTTTGTTGTTCTATAGAAATTTTAGGATTCTTTATTTATTTCCTTGAAAAATGTCATTGAGCTTCTGATTGAGATTGCATTGAATCTGTAGATTGCTTAGATAATATGGACATTTTAACTAAGTTAATTCTTCCAATCCATGAGCATGGAACATCTTTCCATTTTTTTATGTCTTTGATTTCTTTCAACAGTGACTTATAGGATTTAATGTATAGGTCTTTATCCCTTGGTTAAATTTATTCCTCTGTATTTTATTCTTTTTGTTGCAATTTAAATGGAATTGTATTCTTGTTTTCTTTTTCAAGTAGTTCATTGTTAATGTACGGAAACACAACTTATTTTTATATTTGATTTTGTACTCTACAGCTTTACTGTTTTCATTTGTTATTTCTAAGAGCTTTGTTTGGTGTTTTTAGAGTTTTCTATATATAAAAGCACGTCATCCACAATTAGTGAAAATTTTACTTCTTCATTAGATTTGGGATAGTTTTTATTTCCTTTTCTTGTCTAATTGCTCTGGTCTGGATTTCCAATACTATATTAAATAAGAGTGATAAAAGTCGGTATCCTTGTCTTATTCCTATTTTGGGGAGATAGCTTTTAGGTTATCAAAATTGAGTGTGATGTTAGCTGTGGCATGCCTTATATGGTGTTTATTATGGTGAGGTATTTTGCTTCTACACCCATTATATTGACAGGTTTTGTCATAAATGGATGCCAAATCTTGTGAAATGCTTTCACTGCATCTATTGAGATAGTCCTATAATTTTTATTCTTCATTTAGTTAATATGGTGCATCATGTTAATTGATTTGTGGGTGTTGAACCACCCCTGCCTCCCTGGAAGAAATCCCACTGGATAGCGGTACATGATCTCTTAATGTATTGTTGTATCCAATCCATTAATATATTGTTGAGAATTTTTGCATCTATGCTGCTCAGCAATATTGCCATGTAATTTTATTTTTTTGTGTCATCCTTGTCTGTTTTTGGAATCAGGGTAATGCTGAGATTGTAACATAAGTTAAGAAGGTTCTCCTCTTCAACTTTTTGGAAAAGTTTGAGAAGGATAGATATTGGAGTATTGAATATTCTTTACATGTTTGGTATTGTTTACCAGAGAAGTTGCCTGCTCCTGGACTTTTTTTGTGGGGGTGGGGTTTATTTCACTTTCAATCTCCTTTTTTTTTTTTTTTTTTTTGAGGAAGATTAGCCCTGAGCTAACTGCTGCCAATCCCCCTCTTTTTGCTGAGGAAGACTGCTCTGAGCTAACATCCATGCCCATCTTCCTCTACTTTATGTGTGGGATGCTTACCGCAGCATGCTTTGCCAAGTGGTACCATGTCTGCACCTGGGATCCAAACCGGCAAACCCTGGGCTGCCGAGAAGCGGAACGTGCACACTTAACTGCTGTGCCACCGGACTGGCCCCTCAATCTCCTTTCAAGTGATTGTTTTATTTAGATTCTCAATATGTTCTTGATTTAGTTTTGGAAGGTTGTATGATCCTGGGAATTTATCCATTTCTTCTAGGTTATCCAATTTGCATATAGCTTTTCATAGTATTCTCTTATAATCGATTGTATTTCTGTGGTATCTGTTTTAATTTCTCCTCTTTCATTTTGGATTTTGTTTATTTGAGCTTTCTCCCTTTATTCTTTTTTCCTTTTTTGTGTGTTGAGGAAGATTGTCCCTAAGCTAACATCTGTGCCCATCTTCCTCTATTTTATACATGGGACATCTGCCACAGCATGCCTTGATAAGCAGTGTATAGATCTCTTCCCGGTATCTGAACCCACCAACCTTGGGCCACTGAAGCATAGTGCAGGAACTTAAACACTATATCACCAGGCTGGCCTCTCTACCTTCTTGTCTTAATGAGCCTACTAAAGGTTTGTCAAATATGTATACCTTTTCAATGAACCAACTCTTACTTTCATTGATCGTTTCCATTATCTTTTCAATCTCTATTTCATTTATTTCCACACTCATTTTTATTATTTCTTTCCTTCTACTGAAATTGGGCTTCATTTGTTCTTCCTCATCTACTTCTTGTAGGTGTAATGTTAAAATGTTTATTTGAGCTTTTTCTTGTTTTGGAGGTAGACCAATATTGCTATAAAGTTTCCTCACTACCACTTTTTGTTGCATCACATACCTTTTGGTATGTTGTGTTTCATTTTCATTTGGATTTAGTGGTTATTTTTTTTAAACATTGGCCCTGAGCTAACATCTGTTACCAATCTTATTTTTTTTCTTCTTCTTCTCCCCAAAGTGCCCCTGTACATAGTTGTGTTTTCTAGTTGTAAGTCCTTCTAGTTCTGCTATGTGGGATGCGCTCTCAGCATGGCTTGATGAGTGGTGCTAGATCCATGCATGGGACCTGAACCCGTGAAACCCTGGGACGTCAAGGCAGAGCACATGAACTTAACCACTTGGCCACGGGGCTGGCCCCTCAGTTTAGGTATTTTTTTTATTTCTCCTTTGATTTCATCATTGATTCAATAGTTATTCAGCAGTATATTTGTAACTTTCCAAGCTTTATTCTTACAGTTGATTTCTAGTTCCACATTCTGTAATCACAAAAGAATACTTAATGTGATTTGAAATTTAGTTCAAATAATCTATTATTTCATACAAGATAGACTTCCATAAATTTCTTCTTTTATACCATGAAAAAGAATGTCATCACAGTTATTATTTTCTATTTGGCATTGCTGGGTAAGCAATCCTATTGCCAAATGGTAAAAGTGGCTTTATACAAAAGGAAGAAATTTGTTCACATTTCTCAAGTCTATTTTTATTGGCATCATTCCATTTCAGTTACTGAAGAGTTTCTTCCTTTCAGAAATACATTCCCAAATTGCTAACGAAGCAGCCCTGGTATTTGTGAGAACAAAAGGGCCTTCCCTTTGATGTGATCTCTGAGCAGTTTCAACACAATTGAACACCTGGAAATAAAAAAAATATATATATCCTATTTCTCTGAATGTTTTTCCTAGTAATTTAGGAAAGTAATTGGTTGACCAGTTGGGCCTGATCTCTTCTTAGTCTGCTCTTATTCTTTCCATTTCCACCAGTGCTTTTCAATGATTACAGACTTTTTGGAAAACAGACGCTTGGGTCAATTTATCTGAGGACAACTTATATAATATCTGATGTCACAAAACTTATGTTCAAGGACTCCCAAAGGAACCCAGAAGATCAATTTACCAGTACACAGTTTTTTAACCATAGGTACATCATCAGGTTTAGGAGGAGGCTGAGTTTTTGTAGAAGCTGTAACCAGTGTGACACAGCAAACTGGATGAAGATATTTGGAAAAGGGACTAAGCTCATAGTAACTCCCTCTGGTAAGTAACCTTTTTCTGTTTCTTGCTCTAGTAATGAAAAACTGGTAGATGCGTTTTAGAAAAAACAGTTTAGGATGACTCTTATCTGACTGCCACATACTTGACCTTAGCATATGAATAGCAAGTTTGCAACTACTAGCTGTTATACATGAAAACAAAACTACTTCATAAATGGTTTGTTCATATCCCTGATTGTAAGCAGATTGAAATTCCACTTTTAAAATACACACTTAAAAAATTATTGACTCAGGCTAGAAATTAAGATATTTTTTGGACTATGTCTGTAAACTATTGTTTATGTTACTGGTTCATGATACTTTTCTTGTTAACAATACTTTAGCTGAGAGGCACTTTTATTAAATACCTCTTCTCTATATATTGAGATCCTACATAGTGTTCTTTTCTCCCAGTAACCTACAAAACCTATCTTATTGGTTATCATCTCATCCCTAACAGCAGTGCCAAACATTGATTCTTAAAGTAACTGACTATATAAGATCAATAAATCTCACTTATTACTCTAGCTTCTTAGAGGTAGGCTAAAATCAGTCAAAATTTATGCCATCGCAACAATTGATGAATTTCCTAGAGATGGGCCAGTTTACTGGAATTTGTAAGCTCAATAAGCCATTTCAGCTCCAAAGTCCATGAAAAGAGTCTGCATGGTTTTACATCCTCATTTGCTTATTGATTCTGTCAGCAAACAGTCATTGAAGACAGTTTCTGAGCTGGACTCTGGAGATGAATGATGGAAGAAGATAAAGATAGAACAAGTCTCAATATTCCAAAAGCTTCTAGCCTAGTAGATAAGCGTTCTAACCCCAACCATGTCCTTGGAGGCTGTTCTCTGCCCAGCAGAGGAGGCTTCCTAGCCATAGCTAGGAGGCTATTAACAAAAATTTACCTAGTTAGATGAATTATGAGTCCCTAAGGGTGGAGATGTTAGGTCCATTTGCGATTTCTGTATTGAAAGATTTGTAATGAAATTTAGGTATTTTATGTATTTGATTCCAAAATAACCAATGGGAAAAATTGAAAAAACAATGCTAAACTTATTATTTGGTCAGAGCGTGACTAACATCAAGTATTAAAACATTGAACTGGGCAACCATATTCAAGAATGTCACAAGATGGGTTTGTTTCTTCTAAGTTCAGTCCAGTAAATTTAATCAGTCTTCATTAGCCTTAAAGATGAAATTTTGCCTGAATGAGGAAGAATATCTCACAAGGATATTCTTAATCATTAGATCCACTGAAGAGAAAGTTTTCAAAGAATTTTCACAAAGTTGTTAAAAGATTGAAAAAATGAAAGCAAGTAAGAATTTTGTTTTCCTTAGTGGTTGTGATCATATAAACAGAGAACTCATAGATTAAAAACCAGCTTTCTAGTCCTTTATTTTCCAAGTGAGTATATGTTCAAATGTTTTTAGAAGAGTGGGACAGGGAAAATATGGACACTGATTCAGGATTTATCACTTTTTGACCAGTCATCCTTCAGTAAATAAATTTTGATTCACTTGTTATAACTCTACTAAATTATTAAAATAATACTTGCCCATTATGAAAAAAATTGGGAAACACAGAAAAATAAACAAAATATTAAATGTATATATCAATAGGAATCTGTTAACATTTTGATATGTTTCCGTCCATTCATTCTATCCATGAAACAACCATCTCAAGTGGATGTTTCGAATATTAAATGGAATTAAATATGGAAATTACCAACATGGTCAGTGATAAAAATGTCAATTCTCCAGGATTCAAATTACCACCATTGGAGGTCTTTATGAAATCAGGAGTGCATATAAATGCATTAATTACCATCTAGTCTACAGTTCACATAGGAAGGAATGGTCTGTATTTGGAAAAACCTTTCAATTTCTAAGACTAACTATTAAAAGTCTCTAAAAATTATTAGAATATAATAAGTATTATCTCAAATTTATTAGCCTGAATATAAGGTGATCTCTCATTTTCCAGTAGAAGCATCTGCAAGAAAAAGAAGGAGAGGCTTTTGCATATTGAATATATTAATTTATAGTCAAATAAATAAAAGTCAAATATCCACGTATAGTATTTGATTTTTAATTAGATTATAGCTACAGAGTTAAAAATTATATCAACATAAGTATCAGTTGATAATCACTGCTTTTTTTTTTTTAAAGATTTTATTTTTTTCCTTTTTCTCCCCAAAGCCCCCCAGTACATAGTTGTATATTCTTCGTTGTGGGTCCTTCTAGTTGCGGCATGTGGGACGCTGCCTCAGCGTGGTCTGACGAGCAGTGCCACGTCCGCGCCCAGGATTCGAACCAACGAAACACTGGGCCGCCTGCAGCGGAGCGCGCGAACTTAACCACTCGGCCACGGGGCCAGCCCCGATAATCACTGCTCTTTTTGCCCTCATATTTCATTAAATATTTTGTTCAGACTCTTCACATACACCTGCAACACCCACCTTAGAGCGACATTCTAGGTCATCTCAGGGGCTGAGTGCCAGTTTTGTGATCCCTGTGGGATGATGTCACCAGATATTTATCTAAAGAGAAAATTATCCATTTGCAAATAAAAGGAAAACAACTCTTTAATTTATTCTATTTTATAAATATGCAACATAAGCATAAACTGTACAAGCTTTATTCCCAAATAATATTTACCAAATCCATGTTAAATTTCTTTATTTTCTTTCACCAGTGCTTGCTCTAAAACTAGCTTTAATTGAGCTCAATTAAAGGTGGAGATCTTGTCCAAGTAGTAGTTTTTGATGACAGCAGAGTATTAGAAGAGCATCTTTTAACATGAAATGTTGTAAAAGGACTGAGACATAAGGCGACCCCTGTTTTCTGTGCGATAGTTTTGGGAAAGAAAACCTCTCTTTATGTTCTGGCACTTTCAGTCTGTTTGAATTCTGCATATTTTATGTCTATATCACAGAGCTGAGATTTGCAAACATATTCTCCTACCTCTCATGTCATATTAAGTCAGACCTTACTAATCTATCAACCTCTGGGGCTGAAAAAGAAACAAGCTATAATGCACAAATTAATTGTCATTTATTTAAACTGCCTATTTCCGAAATCTATGTGAGAAGACCTGAAATCAAATACACAAACAGAGGCATTCCTCATTTTGTAAAAGTTGAACGTTTCTGGCAACCCTCTATTAGGCAACTCTGCCAGCGCCATTTTTGCCAAAGCATATGCTTAATTCATTTCTCTGAGTCACATTATGGAAATTGTTGCTATACTTCAAAATTTTTCATTATTATTATTATTGTTATGGTGATCTGTGATCAGTGATCTACAATGTTACTATTGTAATTGTTTTGAGAGGCACCGTGAAGTGGGCCTATATATGTCAGCAAAGTCAATTGATGAATGTTGTGTGTGTTCTGACTGCTCCACTGACTGTTTCTCCATCTCCCTCTCCTTGGGCTTCCTTATTCCCTGAGACACAACAATATTGAAATCAAGGCAGTTAATAACCCTACAATGGCCTCTAAGTGTTCAAGTGAAAGGAAGAGCTGCATGTCTCTCATTTTAAATTAAAGGCTGGAAATGAGTAAGCTTAGTGAGGAAGGCATAGCAAAAGCCGAGATATGACAAAAGCTAGGGCTCTTGTGCCAGTTAGCCAAGTCTTATGCCAGTTTGTGACTGCAAAGGAAAGGTTCTTGAAGGAAATTAAAAGTGCTGCTCCAGTGAACATAGACATGATAAGAAAGAAAAACAACCTTGTTGCTGATAGGGAGAAAGCTTTAGTGGTCTGAATACAAGATCAAACCAGGCATAAGGTTCCCTTAAGCCAAAGTCTAATGTAGATCAAGCCACTAACTCTCTTCAGTTCTATGAAAGATGAGAGAAGTGAGGAAGCTACAGAGGAAAAGATTGAAGCTAACAGAGGTTGATTTCTGAGGTTTAAGGAAAGAAGCCGTCTCCATAACATAAAAGTGCAAGGTGGAGCAGCAAGTGCTGATGTAGAAGCTGCAGCAAGTTATGGAGAAGATCCAGCTAAGATAATTCATGAAGGTAGCTATGTTAAATAACATATTTTAATGTAGATGAGACAGCCTTTTTTTGGAAGAAGGTCCCATCTAGGACTTTCATAGCTAGAGAGGAGAAGTCAGTGTCTGGCTTCAAAGCTTCAAAGGACAGCCTGAGTCTTGTGTTAGCGGCTAATGCAGCTGATGACATTACGTTGAAGCCAGTGTTCACTTACCACTCTGAAAATCTTAGGGCCCTTAAGAATTATGCTAAACCTACTCTGCCTGTTCTCTATAAATGAGATATCAAAAGATGGGTGACATTACACCTGTTTACAATATGGTTTACTGACTATTTTAAGCCCACTGTTGAAAACGATTGTTAGAATAGAAAATTTCTTTCAAAGTATTACTGCTCATTGATAATGCACTTGGTCACCCAAGAGCTCTGATGGAGATGTACCATGAAATCCATGTTGTTTTCATGCCTTCTAACACAACATCCATTCTGAAGCCCATGGATCAAGGAGTAATTTTGACGTTCCACTCTTATTATTTAGAAATACATTTCATAAGGCTATAGCTGCCATAGATAGTGATTTCTCTGATATATCTGGGCAAAGTAAGTTGAACACCTTCTAAAAAGGATTCACCATTCTAGATGCCATGAAGAACATTCATGATTCATTGAAAGTGGTCAAAATATTAGAATTAACAGTAGTTTGGGAAAGGTTGACTCCAACTCTCGTGGATGACTTTGAGGGATTCAAGACTTCGGTGGACGAAGTCCTGCAGATGTGGTGGAAATAGAAATAGAGCAAGAATTAGAAGTGAAACTTGAAGATGTGAGTGAATTGCTGCAATCTCATGCCAAAACTGTAATCAACAAGCGGTTACTTCTTATGGATGAGCACAGTAATTGGTATTTTGGAATGGAATCTCTTCCTGGTGAAGATGGTATGAATGTTGTTGAAATGACAATGCAGGATTTCAAATAGCATCACATTCTACCCAAAAACTG